CTTAGGCATTCTGGGACTTCTGCTTTCATAAAATAACTAGATCCATTTTAATGGGATAGGACATACTTCTGGTGCAATATGATTCAAACAAAGACAGTATTTTTCTAGAGCTATCTAATTCATATAACAGAACACAGTAAATACTAGTTAGGAACTTAAAGGATTTTTTTTTATACTCAGGCTTGTAGTATCTACAAGGCAATTGTAAAAGAAAAACTGACAGGAAATAAATTCTTCCAAAAAGAAGAAACTGAAACTAACTTATTTGCAATAGAGGGAGAATTTTCTTCCTTTTCATTTTCTAATTAACTGCAGCAGATTTTGAAGTTATGGTCACATAGTGCTTGATGTCTCCCACTGCAGCCATCATACATCACACACTGCTTGTTTCCTTGGAAAATCATTTTGGTGTGATTCAATTTTGCTCAGTTCTGATCACCTATAAGAAACATCGAGGAATTCCTGCCAACAGACACTCACTTGCTCGCATAGAGTGTGCCATCAACATACAACTTTTTTAGGCCATCCAAATGCAAACTTAGTATTTATGCGAGGTAAAATTGACATGATACTATAAGCATACAATGTGTGTTATTCTCTCTCTGTTATCTGCTTTTGACATAGACCTCACTAGGTTAAGATTAACATTTTGCAGCTGTATTCATGTGTTTTTAATTCAAAACCAGCTTTAGTCATTCTGCAGTTGGACTCTTTCAAGTCTGGCAGAGTATATGAAAAGTTATTATTCACAAAGCACTCCAATAACTGAGCATAACATACATTAGATTCCAGTGTATTGATACTAAATTGGTATTAAGTATAATTTTTTAATTAACTGTACATTCTGAAGAGTTCTGTGTGGAGTACTTAAATGACAGACAAGCCAAGGAAAATAAATACACTATGTTGAATTTGGTCTCTAAATTCTTACCAAAGCCTTGCAAATAGCAAGTAATAAAGCTTAGAAATGAGAACATAAGAGCTACAAATGCAATTATCACCATATCCATTTTAGAAAGTGTATTAAATCCCTTTATTTTTAACAGAGATTTCCCCAGGTAGGATATATTTTGCACTTACTCTCTTTCCTTCTGTAAGATTTTCTGCATGTCAGCCAAATGCAAATGCAAGACTGAAACATGTATTAAATCATTCTCTGTTGTCTTTGCTGTGCTGTCCAAACTTTTTTTAGGTTTCTCCAGATAGGTGCTGGAAACTCCTTTGGGAAAAGAATCGGGAGGCTTTGGAGTGGTTTGCTTATTTTGACTGATTTGGTCTTTGATTACCTCTACATCCTGAGAACACAAAAATACGACATTTTAGAAAAACATAAATGAAGGGAAACGTCAAACATCAGTTCTGCTACCAAGTGTCTCCTAGACATAACTAACAGCTTATACAACATGGTATATGGATAGAACATACATGAAAAAGTCATTGTAGTTTGATCACGGACATTTTTTGATGCCTCACACCTCCTGTTACAATAAGCTCCATATCCAAAATATTTCCAATGTGTATTTACTAATTAAAGATTCCAGTTAATATCAGTTGTCTGTAACTATGATGAAGACAGAATCCTGGAAATAACAAAATCAGGACTGCAATCTATGCATACAAATATTATACTGAGAAACTCTACACTAAGAACTCTTACACTTCTAGAGTAAATCAGGCTGAAGTAGGTGATGTACTCATACAAATTTTGTGTAACAACCAAAGTTACCTGCATAACTTGTCAATTTGGATCCCATTCAGAAACTAAAAGCACTATAATATTTTGAAGATACACTTTTTTTATACAAAACATAAGCAAAGTTAATAATTAGGAAAAAAATCATTAAACAGTAAAATACATATTTATTAGGAAGACTGAATATCTCTTATAAGCAATAGCTTCCTTTAGAAACGTATTTAAGTTTTATTTTTGACAAACTGTGTGTAAAAACTAATCTCATTTTAGCAGAATACCAGCAGCACTATTTCATACCACTCTTCCCTTTTGAGTTTTTATAAGAATGTCTGAAGTCTACATCAGAAAATACTAGAAGCAGGTGAAAAGATAAGGTTGTTTTCCATTCACATATAGTTTCCATTTTCAAGTAGCATACTATTTTATACTAAGTAGAAATAGTTAAAAAATATATTGTGTCATTTCCTTTCTATGGCCCATTTGTCTGCCCAAAAATATGAAAGGCATGCATTTTTTGGCCAAATTTATTCTCTGTACTAACACCATGAGGTTTTTTATTCAGTATTCAGAGAAAGTGTTATTTAAGTGCATTACACAGTGAGTGAAAATTCTGAACATAATACATTCAGGCCCAAGATTCCAACAATTTCCATTGAACTGAACTAAAATAAATTTCCTACAACGCAAGACAAAATTTCCTACATCTATAATGACAAATTTTTCTCTCTGAGAAATGACAAATAATTTTTACATTCTGGTGTCTATAAAATGCATGCCCAGGCACATACTAAGAACTGGTAAAACATGAACCAATAGTTCCATTTTGATGAACATAACTGGTTCATTTGTGGAGAACTAGGGGCTGTATTAAACCATGTTCAGACTTGATTAATTCTGCATAACAACAAAATTGCTCTCCTTACCAAACAAAATCTTGTGACTTTGCAGAAGACTTTGCCTCATCTCTTCCCACATTTTAGAAATTGTGTTAAAGGAGAATTAAATTATTTTATATTAGAAGACAAGAATCTACCTTGCTTTTTTGGAGGTTAAAAAAAGTACTCAAAACATGGAGAATCCAGATAACATAGGAAATCTCTTACCTTAAAACATGAGTCAGAACAATACACTAAGTTACTTCACATAACTCTGCCTCTGTCACTTCACTGTTTACCCATAGTTTTGTTTTCCATATTTCTCTATATTAGGAATGTTAGATGGGTGAAAAAAGTGATTTTGCTATTGAATACATCATATAGTATTTCCTTAAAATCCTTTAAAAATCCTGTTTCTAGACACATCTCCCATTTCTTCATGAGCTACAAAAATTCCATATTTTACCTTCTTTGTGTCTTCTGCCCCAAGAATCTTGTTGGTTTTGCTCAGATCTTTCACAGGTTCTTGTTCCAGAAATGTTAACTGATTTAGGTCTTTTTTAATATTAGGTATTTCTGAGCAACTGAATTCTCTTCTCCAAGCAGTTTCATTTCTCAAGTTTTCCTTCTCATTTACCAAATTTTGATTTATTTTTTTAAGCATACTCATTTCTTTTAAAACACTGTCTAATTTGAGTCTCAATTGCCTTGCTTCCTCTCGGGCTTTATTTCTCTCTCCTCTAACTTTACTCCATTTCTCCCTCCAGTTAGCAGTACAATCTGACCACCAACGCATGGTCTTCTCCATTTGGGCAGCTCTGGCTTTGACTTCTTCCAGTTCTCGAATTTTTACTGCTTCAAAAATTTCCCAATCACTGCTGTAATTTGTAAGCATACATGGATAATGAGATGAATATGGGTAGAAGCTTTGAGCTGGCAAAATTGAATTACATGGATGACCACCTGGTTCACAGCCTCCAGCTAATTTAAAATTTTGTGTTGATTTGCTCCCAAAAATCTGTGTCTCTTCCATTAGTTTCTGAATAGAGCCTGAATTCATCTTTTGATCCATCATCTAATTTCACTCCTAAAAAAAGAGAGACAGACAATAATTTAGCTTCCCTCAATTAAATTTTATTAACAACGTCAAACAGTAGTTTATTTTACTGCTACAATAACGAGATAATATCAATAATGCTGTTGATGTTTTAGAAATGTGCTTCATCAACAAGAAATAGCTATTAAAATATATTTTATGTAATACTTTGAGTACAGCATGAACAGACACACCTATTACTTGACTAAGAATTGGTAACAATGGAAGTGTCATTAAACAATCATAGCACTCTTGAAAATTTCTGAGTCTAGAAACCAGGCAAAAGTTTTCTTCCTTCAAGACAAGATTAAACTGAATCAATATGTATTTTAAATGTCTAGGAAGAGGAAAGTGTTTGTCTAGAACTACACTCACAGATTCACTTGCCTTTTTCCCTAAACTGTCTAACTTCCTAATATGTAAAGTATAGGGTATGTTTTGCCTAACTAAAAAACAGTGAATAAAAAGAAATTCTTGATCTTTGGATTGCCTTTGTTTCATGAGAAAAACCAACTGTTTTTATAGGGAGTTTTATTTTGCTGTTTACATTCCAGAAGCTGTCCAGGAAGTATATTCTTATATTAGTCTTGAAAAGGTAGCACTATATAGTCTATATATAGCACTGTATAGCCTACCTCATGATGGGACTCCTAGTAAATCTTGCACTCCTCCTCATTATTTAATTGCTACTACTTATTTGGCTCAGGGGAAAACCATCTCAGAAACTGCTTTCCCACCCCAGTGCCAAGAAAAAGTTGGTGCAGATAGTCTGTAGGGATTAATTACTTATACCTCCCTGTTTTTCCCTCTTGGCTATCTTAAAAAACAAAAACAGAACCAAAAAAAACCCAGCCACAAATAAATCAGAACTAAAAATCTTGCTATATCAGTAGAAGACTAAGTTGTTTGAATTAAAAGTATTGTTCTTATATTTTGACATCCACCTACAAAAAAAACCCCACTAATTGCTGTAACTTACAAACTTTAACACCTGTATTTGACATGTAGAGGGCCAATGCATCAAACAAAATACTGAAGAGTAGATAGTCTTGGCATTATGATTCAATCAAGTTTCATTTTAGCTGAATAGAAGACTTTGAAGGGTTTTGGTACCAGTTTCCTTGCTGTTTCCAACTTTGCTTTGCTTTCCAGGACATTTGCCATTTGTTAGAAGCTTGTGGAGAACTGTTGCAGTCAAGTATGGACATGAGAGAAGGAGGAGGGCAGTAAAGAGCTCCCAGCACCCTTCATTATCACTGTCTGGTGCAGCACCACCAGCTCCCGCAACAGCACTGCACAGACGTTTTGCCGCTGCCAAAGTTTAATCAAGGTTGTTGTCTTTTTCTTGTTGCCTGACCTACTTCCAGAGATTTCATGTGAATTAATCTTATCCAAAACATAAAGATATTGCCACCCATGATTTTGTATGAGGCACAGTAGAGCCAAAATAACAAAATATTAAACTCTCACATTAAATTGTTAATTTAACTTTTGATTTGTGGTAATACCTTTCTTTCCTAAAGCTTTAATTAAAAAGCAAAATAAAAACAGTTAATTTTAAATATTAATACAATAGTTCAACTTTTTGCCTTTTTTTTAAATAGAAATGAAAAAGTAAGAAAAAATTATTGTACTGTCTCAGATTAGTAGATGTCTTCAAAGACATTCACTACAATGAGTTTTTTTTAATAGGTTTTTCCAACAGCTTTGCATATTCACTGAAAGGAGGCAGTAGAACTTGGAGTTTACAGTTTACAAATCCTAAAAGTTGGAGAAATAAGAAATTAGTCTATTTAATACAACATAATTGGATGGAAAGATAAGATAGAGAATTGGATGAAAAATGGAATCTTCTGTCCAGTGAAACCTGGTGATTCCATTCTTAACCATTCAGGGATAAGAGGGAACACAGAATCCACTTGAGTAGTTTTTCTTAACTAATCTAAAATAACCATGCCCAAAATACAGGAAGCAACATTTATTATATCATGTGAGTGGGGTGGAGACAGTATGAGAGAGAGAGCTGATGGATCTGCGGGGGAAAAAGGTGCAGACTTTTGGCAAATGCTACATGGAATATAGGTCTAAGCAATATTTCACTGTATTGCAACTTTTGTGTATTTACCTAATGATCATAAATATACGAGCTCCTGATTTACTATTGCAGGCTATTATTGTTATGGGCAAAGAGAAATGTATTAACCCTTTGTGGCAGAGTTAAAATCATCAAGAAAGAAAAGAATTATTACACTTCCCCCACATTAGTACCTGCTGACTCAACTCAGGTTTTTCAGTGAGTTCAGGAACTAGGTCAGCAACTTGAGCATAATGTTGCAACAGCATTTTACTAATTGCATGACTTAATCCTCAGTTGCTTGCCTCTTAATTCTGAAGACCTCAGTTAGACTTCTTTTTTAAAGGGATTGTATGTCTTTACAGAAAACTTCTGCTTCAGATCAAGCCAGTTAACTTTGGTTTGTCTAATCTATAAATGTAATAGAACAAAATGAGCTACTCAAACTGTATAAGTGCTTTTGTAAGTGCTACTGAAAAGACAGAACGTTCTATGATATTGCTGCAACTGGCCTTCAATTCACAAACCTCTACAAAGGGAGCAGACTTAGAGATGGCCAGGGATGATGGCTGACTTATGGGAAGAATATAGAGAATGACTGAGTGTCACTCCTGGAAAACTCCACTGTTTACAAAGGACTGCTAACTACCACGCTACCAGCTCAAAAAAAGTTCAAATGATGTGTGCCCACTCCTGCTTAAAAACTAATTTTAACTGGTAAACCATTACCCTCAGGGATTCCACCAGTGACTAAAGATTCAAGTAAAAACCACTGTCAAATAAATGGCAGAAATGTATGGGGGGAAAAAAAAAAACACCACACTGAAAAGTGATGATATAGTTCAATCTAAGAACATATCCACAGAACATGTATCTAGCCAAAAAACCCCTAAAAATCCTGAAGCATGATAGAGAGAGGTGGCTGATCATTTGGGTAGAATAAATACAGCACAAAACTGAGGTAGAACGAGTACTTGGTTACAACAGCCTGGACTCACTGGGACTTATTCCTTTCAACAGACTACGAGGAAAGGATGCCCAGTGACAAAAGCTATGGGAAAGCAAACTGTAGATTCATGCTTTTTTGTTAACATTTTACCACCTTCAGGAAAGGTAAACTAATCTGGGAAACTCTGCATGTAGATTACATTGATCCCTTAGAACAAACACCTGAAGGGTGAAAAGATATCCTTACAGGAGTAGAAATAGTAATATAAGGAACATGCGCCATGGCCAAGGTACAACTGGTCTCAATTGTTGCTGCTTCAAGCCAGAAGTTTGCTATTTTTCTCATACCCAGAGAAATACAACCATACAATAGGTGACATAAGAAGAATAAAGTAGTGCAAGCTTGGTGTGGTTCAAATAGTGTACAACGGGTTCTGCCTGGAGTACTGTGTCTACCTCTAGCGCTCCCAACACAAGGACATGGACCTGTTGGAGCAAGAAGGTCTGTTGGGTGAAATTGGTATAAGAACTGAATTAATCTGATATTGAAACCCTAGCAAATAAATTGTCAGTATTAGGAGAAACTTGAAGCTGGGGTAACCTGAGTGACCTGGAAAATGCTTATTAGATTTATTATCATTGTTATGGCATTAATGAACACAAAGCTCATGCTAACATCTGATGCATGGTGGGAGCAGTGCCATTAAGTCAAAGCAAGAGCACTACATACATAGGACACAGTGGACAGGGAGAGATAAGGGATGATATCACATACAGCTGTCATCTTCTGCACCTTTGCACATAGCTACCTTGAAGTTTCTTCAGAATCCACTAACTCACAGAAATATTATAGACCAATACCTCTGCTTACATCTAACATATTCGAATTGAATCCAACAGCAGCCAGACTGCCGAGGTTTTTGTACTTGGCAGTGTGATAGAGGAGACACCTAGGCCATGGTGGAGGAGGAAGAATCAGCATTCACACCAACAGCTCAGTAACTATTCTGCTCATAGGTAAGTTATGCTAAGAGAATTTGTGTTAGAGAGCTTATGAATTCATGAAATAATGAATTAGTGAAGTCCCATGTCAGATTAGTTTGTACAAGGATGATTCAGCCATTCTTCAGTGCCTTTGTGTGTTTTAGTGGGAGTTTCTAAGGGGAGTATTTTTGGTTGTTTTTTTTAATGAGCTCATAAAGTTTAATTTACAGAGTACATTGTGCTGTAAATCTCAGAGATCCAAACAGACCAGGACAACATATGAAGATTATCATAATTCTACAGTGGGTCTGATCATGGTCTCTGTACATTACAAAAAATATTATTTTGGAACTGAAAATTAAAGGATGGTGATTTCAAGACTTTTCAATGCACATCCAAAGATCATTCTGCTTATTTTTTTCCACAGCTATAAAACCTAATATTAAATCATATGGTATATTTTAAAGTTGTTTATATTGTTTCCAAACATATTCCTTACATGTGTCACAAAAATGAGCCAAAAGATGTCCTGAAGAGACAAACAAATTATGAAATCTGTAAAGTGCCTGAAATACAGGTTTTTCCCACCACATCAATTTGGAAATGATAGTCTGATAAGCGTGTCTTTGAGATCAACCGAAATCACATCCAAAATTCATTAATGTCCTGAACACATAAGATAAAAATTACACAACCTCATCTTCCATCACCTATTCTCAGCCTGAACTTCTCAAGTGACAGTGTCAAGCTTAAGAACTTTAAAATTAATTTAATTTTCAAAATTCTTAAAGGACAGGATTAAAATTCACATGTTTTATAAAACAAAACCAAACCAAAAAAACCACCAAAGTAAAAACTGAGGGAAAAGTATACCCAAAATATTTAGGCTGGCTGAAAAGGAGTAAAGACAGATGTTCTGAGTAAATTCTTATACATTCCTAGCAGTATGGCCCAACATAAAATTTCAGGA